CTCCTGTGAACGTGTTACAAATGCAGATTCCTGGGCTCTAAATCAGACTTACTGAATCAGAAAGGTGTGTTTTCAAAAGCCTGCCAGGTGATTCTGATGCCCTTTGAAGTCTGAGAATCTGCATGGTGAAAGCATTATTTTTAGAAACAGACAGACCTGGGTTCTCAGCCTGGTTCTTCCAGCTTCAATCATGTGACTGTAGTTAAGTGACTTAACCCCTCTGTGCTCCAGTTTCCTCATGTAAAGATGTGCATTCCTTCCTCCTAAAAGAGCCGTGAGCATAAAATGAAGTAGTATATTTAAGGAACTTTGGATGGTTCATGGCCCATAGTAGATGCTCAGTAATGACATCAATTGTTACTGCTATGATTACTCCAGAAGTTGTAAACCATAATGAAATGAGAAATTGTATTGTTAATTCTAGAGGTGGCCTCTTAGGGCACCACCCTTTGTCTCCCCAGCACCCAACCTGACCTCTGTCCCCAGCTTCTGTAGTAGCAGGTGCCAGAGGAGAGAGATTAGAAACAGCGGGTGGGGGAGGTGTGCTTGGCAGACCTGTGCTGTATGTGCATCATGTGATACTGGCAGTGACACTTTGCATATTTCAGGCACCATCTACATACGTGGCACATCTCACATATCTTACCCCATGTAAAACACAGCTTCCCTGTCAGGACTAGGCAAGAAAATTCCCTAGTGCTGTGGGTCTGGGAGTAGTGGCTGCCCTGGCAGTTCTGGGCTTGGGAGTGGTAGAGAGCTGTGCCATCAGAAGGGTGAATAGCAACAGGCCACCATTTGAACACATAGCTTTTTTTTTCAAGTCAGGTGTTGGTAAATTGGAGACTGTCTGGATTTCTCTGTGAGATCAGATGTTTGAGAAGACTCAGTACTTCTGTGCTGAGATTTTTGCCAGAGGAATTGGAGGTGGAAGTCGGGGAGAAGACAGGTGGGGAAGAAGGCTGGAGGAGAGAGAATTGCTATTTTTACCAGGTGGTGCCTTCACTGCCTGTGGTGGGAAGAAGACTTTGGCTCTGGGCTTGTTGATGTGAGAGTCTGGGAAGCAGAGCACTGGAACGTTCGGCTAGAGTTAGGATGAAGGCTCTTTTTTTGGCTTTCAGAGTGTTGGACGTGGTTCCCCAGAATCTCCATGATTTACTAGATTGGCTTTCCTAGCTCAATAGTGAGAAGGCAATGGAGAGGTTTTGAGAATGGTATTAGGGAAGGAGAGAGGGAGGGAGGGAGGGAGGGAGGTAAGTGGGGATGGAGAGAGGGAGGGAAACTATTACATAAGGACCAGGTTGTATGCTAGGTACTTTCACATCATTTAATCTCGTTTAGCACTCCTCAGAATGGTTTGAATTAGGTAATGTAATACCCTTCCTCTTTAAAAAATTTGTGGAGAAATTGAGGCTCAGAAAAGCTACACGACTTGACCGAGGTCACAGGAACCTTGGCCTCTACTCTTTCAAGTAAAACATCACCTCTTGGGTCATTCAAAGAGAATATGGGAACTCAGAGGTTCTCAAATGCAAGTGGGCTGCTTTGGAATGACCTTGGGATTGTTGATACAAATACGAACTCCTGGGCCCCTTTCCATACCCGCTGAATGAGCATCAGTGTTTTTAACCCCTGCTCCAGGTGCTGCTGATGCTCGCTCAGTCATCAAGTTTGGGAACGACCGGACACATGTCTTATAACCCAGCTACCTTTCTCTTTTCCCTCCATGTCCCTCCATCCTACTGTCTGTGTTTCCTAATTCCCAGAGCATTTATGTTGTTTAAGCTCTCACAGTAAACAACCCTGTTAAAATTCCATTAAAAATTTCAACCTAAACATTGTCAGGAGCCCACCTGGACATTTGAGAGGGCAGGGAATTAGCAGTAGTGCTCTCAGGAGAGTGTCTCTGAGCAAATCAAGTGACAAATAATTTCCAAGGGCATTCAGCTGCTGGAAAAAAAAACCCAAGGCTTTTTTTTTTTTTTTTTTTTACTCCCCTTATCCTGAGAAGGTAGCTATTCACTTTCTCTGCAAAATGTGTCTTTTGACCTGTTTTTCTTAATTCACAGGAAAGGGTTTGTGTATATGCAGTGCAGTGCTGGCGCCTCCCCTTAAGGAGGCCGATCTGGTGTAAGGAGGAGGCAGTGGCCTCCTTGCATGGCCTGGGAGGGTGGGAGCCGAGGCTGAACCAATGAAAGCTGGAGCCGCCCACCTTTCCCCAGAAGTCACTCCACAGTCACTGGAGCTGCTGTGCTAGTCACACTCCTTGGAGCTTCTGGTATTGTCTATAAACTGGGCACAGAATTGAACATGAATTTCAAACACGCAATTAAGGCTCATAATAATCTTCCTGAGCAGACTCCCTTGCCCCAAGGATCCTTAGAAACCTAGAAGAACAACAGTTAAAACAAAATCAATTATAAAACGGAAGCTTCTTTAAAGGTTTTTCTTCCCTCCACCTCTGAGGACTTGGGAGCAACAATCCTGCCGAGAAGGTGGAGAATGGGAGATGGTGATGGCCTTTTTCTCAGGCTCCCGTGGAGACTATGTCAGGCCCACAGCTCTCTAGGGTCGGGGTGTTGGGGAGCAGATGGGTCCAGAGCAGGCAAGTCCTCACAGGAGAAGGAGGGCTCAGAACTCAGCAGGACGTTGTTACACGTAGCATGTAGCTCAGCTCGCTGGGGGTCTTAACTGGGTGTGATCTGTCACCCAGCTCTGGCCAGCAGGCTGCACTGCCTGTCCCAGGCATTGGACCATCTGGGGTGTGGATCTCACATACTCTTCACCTGTCCTTGGGGCTCCCAGTCTGTCTTCTCTAGGCCTTGCCTTGACAGGAGCCCCCCTTCTCAGGCCTTTGTCCCCACCTCCACCCTCCCCTGCCCATCTCACTCTCCGCTCATCCTTTGTAGCCAGTGTCATCCTCTGTTGGCTCAGGCTGTTTGCAGAGGTGGATGAGAGAAGAGACTGCTTTGCAAAAGGCTTTTACTATAGCTTTGCATTGTTCTGAAGACAAAGACCAAAACCCTTGACGAGGAAAGCTCAAGGTCAGGTCTTGCCTAATTAGGGGGTAAAAATGTAGTGAGTGTGTGTGCGTGTGTGAAAACAGTTAGAGTAATAACGTGGGGAAGTGCACGTCAGGTCTTCCTCTTAGTGCCTCCAGTTCTCCGGCTCGTGGCTTTTGTGCGTGCGGAGCCTTCTGCCTGGAACACTGCCACATCCCAACCTGGGTAACACCCTCCCACCTGTGCACCTCAGCTCAGCAGTCCATTCCTCAGGGCCCCTTCCTGGGCCCCCAGACTGGATCAGTACCGTCCACTCCTGATCTCTCATCGTATCTTTTCTTTCACAGCACGCACAATGGCCTGTAATTTACATTTGTCACTTATTTATGTGGCTTCTAGATTAATATTCGTTTCCCCTCTAAACCTTACACTCCATGAATGCAGAGACTGTGTGTCTTCCCTGAGCTTAGTGTGGAGCATGGAGCAAGGTAGGCATTCAGTTAGTAATTGCTGAGCAAATGAGTGAAGACTTCAAGGGGCTTGAAGTGGCGATCACAACCCTCACAGAAACTTCTAGCTGGAGCCCTGGCTGTGTACATGTCTTTGCTTAGAATTATAGAACATATCGCTTATATTGTGGGTTTTTTTTAAATTAAGATTTTATAACTATCAATACTTTAAAATGTTCCTGAACTCTGAGAGACCATTCTAACTTTTTGGATTTAACTGCATAAGGCTTAAAGCGACTGGTGTAGAGCCATCCTCAGCTGTCACAGTAATTTAGTGCCCTGTGTGCGACCTCTGGGCAACCCATGTTCCAGGTTATTTCTCAGTGTTGTTTTGTTCGTATTTATGGGCAGGGCTCAGAGGTGCTGAATCGAGGCTTGGCAGAGCTTCTTGTACCTTGTGTACCTTAGTCATCGACCAGGGCGGGTTCTTTTAAAGGGCACTGGGTCATGGTGACTTAACCAGAGAATACTCAAAGCCAGTGACCGTTTCCACGGTGACTTGGGCCCCTCATGCCCTCTCTCAGGCTGTACACAGTAGATGAGTTCTTTGTGACAGACTGAGTGGCCTGTGTTGTCAGGAAGCTGTTTTTGTTTGTTTGTTTGTTTGTTGCTGCAGTGTTGGTACAGGCATAGGCAAGGAAGTGCCCCTACAGCAAGGAACTTAATGATGCCATGTGACACTATTCATCTCTATATCTTTCAAATAGAAATTCGAAAGGCATTCCTCTGCTCATCATCACTGCCTGGTCCATTTTAAAGGTTGTGACCCAGTAACGGATTATGAGACCAAGTGTAGGGATGATCATCAGTGTTTAAAAAGGGTGAAAAGAGAGCATAGAAAAGATCACATTGCAAATACACACCGTGAAAGTTAGCTATTCTTTTTTATTATTAGTTTTGAGTATACAGTACGTTGGTTAGACATTTATATAGTTTATGAAATGATCCCCCCCGATTACTCGATCTTCCCTCTGGCTCTACGCATAGCATTACATTACTACTGACTGCATTCTCTAGGCCGTGCTCCCCATCCCCGTGACCCTCTATCAACTACTAATTTGTACTTCTTTAACTCTTCACAGCCCCACCCCCCATCCCCATCCCTCTGGCCATCACGAGATTGTCATTTATATTTGTGAGTCGTTTTCAGTTACTTTGTTCTTTCTGTTCCTTAGATTCCACATGTAAGTGAAGTCATACGGTTTTTATCTTTCTCTGTCTGGCTTATTTCACTCAGCATAACAACCTCCAGGTCCATCCATGTTGTTGCAAATGGGAAAATTAACTATTCTTTTCTGAAACATTTCTGTGTGTGTGTGCGTGTGTGTGTGTGCGTGTGTGCATGTGCGTGTGTGCGCACATGCATATATATGCTGACTCACACAGTAAAATGTATTTCTGACAGTCAAAAATATCTGATTGCCACACTCTGTAGTACGTTCCACTAGGACTTTCTAATATCACTGCCATCTTTGCTTTGTTTTTTTTAAAGGTATGCAAAATCCAGTCAGATCAAGACTGTGTCAAGCAGCAAGATATTTTTTAAAGGAAGTAGATTTCGGTATAGGTGGGTACCCATGCTTCCATTTTAATGATGGGGTTTGGGTGGGACATCATGTATATTTGAATGTTTTGCTTGTAAATCGGCACAGTTTGGCTTGTGCCCCCATTTTAGTTCTTGCTTTCCATTCCACTCATCTCTTATGCTTATGGGCACCCTCAAACTCCATAGAAACTTCCCCTGATGGAGGGAGAGAAGGTGTGGGGTCCTAGAACTGGGTAAGACCATTGCGAAGTTAAAAAACTGCACGTGCACATTCCTCTCCTGCTCTGAATGTCTGTGCACGGATGTGTGTTCTTGTCTTTTGCAGTGGTAAGGTTGCCAAAGAGGTGGTGGAAGCGAGCTCTAAAATCCAGAGGGAGCCTCCGGAGGTGCACAGGTGAGTGGGGTGCTCGCCGAGCTCTGGGAGGCTTCTGGGATGGACAGAGGGATTTAAAGTCTGGCTTTGCCAGATCTCTAGGACAAGAAAGGGAGTACAGGCACCAGCTGCCAGGCCCCATATCGATTTTCGGCCTTAGTCCCAGATATGGTACTCTCTCTATCCCAGAAATCTTCCTCAGACGGATTTGGCCAGCTGTCGCGTGAGTGCAGTTGGGCCCCATTTTGCAGTACTTGCTCTGTGGAGAGTCATTGGCTTCATTTGACCTTGAGTGTCACACGAACAAGCACGATGTGTATGAGGCAAGGCTGTGTCATTTTCTGGCTGAGTCCGTCATCCCTCTTAGAACTGCCTTCTGTTTCTGCCTCTGTTCATCAGATGTGACCAGTTCCCATCAGCCCAGCTTTTTCTGGGCTATTTCACATGAGGGGGTAGGATGCTCATCTCTCGCTGGACTCTACTTCCAAGGGTTACTCAGAGGAATGAGGACTTGGTCATTATAGGTTCAAGGGTACACATCTTTGTTAAGGTGGCAATATATGTAATTCTTAGGAATTAAATATTCTCTTGGTGATGTTGAACTTCATACCACCACAACGTTCACAAGTCATTGTACATCCTAAACCTCAGACATGCTAAATATCTAAAGCTGAACATTCTCATCACAATGCTTTCTGTTTTGAAGGCAAGATCATCATAAGCTATGTTCTTTAGGAAGTTCCCACACACTGGCTGGTGCCGGTCCTTCCCTCTCTGTCTTTGAACTTGGAGGAGTCTGCCTTATGCTCAGATTTTCCCCGTCTCCTCTCTTTCCCATGTGACCCAGCGAGCAGGGTGCCTCTCACCTTGTCTCTGGGGTTGTCAGGCAGGAGCAGGCTGTGGTCTCTCGGAAGTGCGGCCAAGCCAGCCCGGTGTGGCCATCCAAGCAATAGCTCTTCTCACTCACACGGGGGAGCAGAACCGCTGTTGGCATGAGTTTCTAGCAAATGTACACAGAGAATAATCCATCCTGGTTTTGGATGACCACATGGGAAGCTGTCACATGCAAGTCTGTAAAACCAGCCTGAAAACTGGGGAGTGAGAGAAGCTGGAGTGCCTTGGCTGGGCACCTTGGTACCATACCTGTGAAAGCCTTGCAGCTCACCCATTGATGACAATGGTCTTTTTTTTTTAAATAGTCGTTTTATAGCTAGCCTTCCTCCACCTCAAATTGTGGTTACTCAGTGCAGCAGAAATGAAGAGGAAATGATAAAACGTATTATTTGAATTTTTTCAGAATCTTTGGGCTGGAAATGACTTAGATATCACCTACTTTGATTCTTCTATTTTATAGACAAGGGAACTTGAATCTCAGAGAGGTCAAGTGATTGATATAAGGTCATAAATTTTGGGGGGCACACCTAACTAAGCCTACGCTCTTTTTTTCTGTAGCATCTGCCACCCTGAAAGCATCTGGCATTCTCTTAGGAGCTGGGAGGCAGACTACCCCAGGGGCTCAGCTTGGGTTTTATTCTTTCAACTTGAACTTGAGTGTTTGATTTCAAAAAAACGGAGAAGAAATAATGCTAGGGAGTTCCCTTGATGGCACAAACACAATGTAGGAAACTTTTTAACAAAATATACTTTCGGAGAGACAAATTCCAAATATATGAGGCTTTCCAAGAGTCCCATAATTACAATCTAGGGATAGTTAATAAGATCAGAGAAGAATTGTAAAGAAATATTTCTCTTTTAAATTCAAGTTTCCATAATTTATAGGAGTTATGGTATCTAGATCAGGGCTTCTCAAACCTTAACTTGCACAGGGATCACCTTGAGTTCCTGTTAAAATCAGATTCCGAATCATGAAACTGGCCTTTCTGACAGACACTGAGATGATGGCTGTGTGGCTGGTCTACAGACTGTACTTCGAATAACCAGGCTCCAGATAATTAATAGTGAAGTGGGTGAAGGGAGGAGATTGGCCTTAGTGAAAATCTTTCCCT